AAGAATTTTATTGCGCGCGCCGTAAACCGGGTGCCATGCATTTATTCTCTTGCTATTTACCCTTTGCCCCAAGGGTGTGCGTTATTTTCGCTATAAAAGACCTCGCGACCGTGCGATGAGGGTGGGGGAGGAGGACGACGTGTGCAAAGGAGGAAGGTATACGAGGCAAAAGATCGCGCGCGTGCGTGTAAACCCGCACACACGCACGCATACGTAACGCGTGCAAACACGCCGCGGACCGAGCCGCGCGCGGGTGAAAGTAGAGCGAAATATTAAAAAGCACTCAGCCGCTCTCGAAATTCATGTAATCTAGAAAACCGTAAAGTAGGGGCGCGCTCGTCTCGCGGCTCTCTATCCGGCGCGCAGCCCGCGGCAAACAACGACCGCCACGCCGACGAGAATTATTGCTACCCCCTCTATTCCGGGCAGGCCGCGGAACGCCGCTTCGACCGAGCACGAGGCGATCCGGGTTAAAGACACATCGCGGAATTAATGCGCCAATAAATATTTAGAAACGTATAATTTTCACTGTACGCTATGCAAAGTGCGCCGCGCTGGCGGGCGTGCATTTATTCCGTTGCTATTTACCCTTTGCTCGCCGGGCATTTATCATTTTTACGAGAGCGGCCGCGTAAGCGGACGGGCGCAGGGTGCTGGGGGAGAGGAGGATGGAGAGAGCGAGCGACAAAGCACGAGAAGATCGTGCAGCATGAAATCGCGAATGACGTGCGCGCGCGCGGAGGGGGACGGAATATTGCAAGTGAATCTAACTGAAAGCCCCGCGGAATTATATCCGAAATCTAAATATGTGGAACACACGGGAGCGTCGCGCGTATAGCATTCCTTTCAGCAGCAACGCGAAAAAGACGCGCTCTCCTTAAACACGGGACGTGTACCACACAAGCTACATCTACCCGCAGCCAGGCCGCCCTCCTCTTCCGTCTCGGCAGAGGAGGAAGAGCTGCAGCGCGGGGATGAAATCTATTACCGGCTGAAGGAGGAATCGTGTTTGTGCTCTCGCGAGCTCTCGATGCTCCACGCACGCGCTCGCTGTCTATCTGTTTATCCCGCTGAAGCCTTTGAAGACTGTGGAGTATTTCCGCGGTATGGCCGTTCCGCGCGCTTTCCTCGCGCTCTTTTTTGCGGTTTTTCGGAGATATCCTCCAGCGTCATGTTCGAAGACGAGTGTTCACTTTCAGCGTTCGTCCGCTTCGTCGACTACGGCGATACGGCGAGAATTCATCCGCGATCGTCCTTCCTCTAGCGAGAGCGAGAGCGAGAGAGAGAGAGAGGGGGGAGGTAGATAGAGTAAAGTTACGCGCCTTGCGCGATCTCTTTTTCTCTCTCTCTGTCTCCCTCCCTCCCTCTCTCTCTCTCTCTCTCTCTCTCTCCAGATGGGAATGTGCGCGGCGTCGGTTCGCGCTTCAGAACCACTGGCTTAAAGAATATGTATCATTCGCGAAAAGATAATCGAAGCGGAACACGTAGTCGAACGGAACGGGGAAGAGCAAGAGAATGGCCGGTGCGACGAAGCGAGAGGAAATAACGGCGCAGACAGAGAGAACGACAGATCGAAGAAGGGAAAGGTCGTGAACGAGACGGGAGAATCGGGCGAAATATTGGAAAGCTGGCTGCACGGCAAGATAAAACGTTTCATAAAACAGACATCGATTCCGTATTACTCGGTGCGCCACGTCGACGTGAATCGACGAGAGTCTCGCTGGAGTGCTCCTCGAGAGCAGCCGCGAAGGCTGGAGGGGAAGCGAACGGTCCTGTACCGGCGTATAAAAGAGGTGGGAAGGAGAGGGGCGAGAGGGAGAAAGAGAAAGAGAGAGAGAGAGAGAGAGAGAGAGAGAGAGAGAGAGAAAGAGGGGAATATGCATTTTCTTATTGCATCTCATACCGTATTCTCTCGTCCTTCGTCTCTGTCGCTTGTTCTATTCCCGCCACTTCTCGGTCGCATCCGCGCTGCATCTAGTCGATGTCGTCGTCATCGTCGTCGTCGTCGTCGTCGTCGTCATTGTCCGCGTGAAATCCAAGGGAGAAGGAAAACCCTTATGCTACCACATATAAGCCTTTCCCGCGACACACACACACACACACACACACACATGTTCGAGGCGAGAAACTACGAATGAAAGGAAGAGAGAGGGGAGTGGAAGGAAGGGGAAAGAAAACCCGGAACGGTGGCGCAACTCGATTTTCCCTAAACTTGGATACGTTATAACCGCGCTCTCGTATTCCGTCCATTTTCACGTTGGGATCGTAAAAATTATTACGTCTCGTAAATAATAAGAGACGTATAGTATCGAGGTCGGCTCGTAAATAACTCCCCGCACGTTTTTTCCCCAGTAAGTTTATTCTCGTATGGAACGTTTCGGGCTGCCGCCGCGTCGAGTCGCGTATCGTACGATATGATTATCGTGATACAATTATACGGTAATCAAATATGATGAAGTCCTTCACCAGGGAAATCGCCTTTACACACCCGCGTTTCGTTGCGCAATTATAAAATCATAATGTTTGATCGTTTCGGTAAAGAGATTGCAGAGGGGCAGGGGGAAGAGAGAGAGAGAGAGAGAGAGAGAGAGAGAGAGAGAGAGAGAGAGAGAGAGAGAGAGAGAGAGAGAGAGAGAGAGAGTGTGTGTGTGTGTGTGTGCGTGTGTGTGTGCGCGCGCGCGCAAGAGAAAAAGAGCTTTAATGCCGGCGATACGAGCTACGCGACAGTACTTTCGACTGAATTCAGATTATCAAATAATAACTTTCCTTCCGGAGCGATCGCGAATTTCGCTGCACGCGCATATCACCACTTTCGTTAATAAAATACGTGATTTCGCGCTGACGGGGGCGGCTTTTGACATTACATTTACATCAAATGACGTCCGATATTGCGCCACGCGCGCGCACGTACTCGCATCGCGGGAGATTTTATGTTCCCGCTAATATATAGTTACTATATTATGCGCGCATATAATTGCAGTTAATGTCAAACGGGACTCGTTGAACGCGCGCTCGTAAAATCTCATTTCGGTATTACCGCGAAACGCGCGCGGATCGGTAAAAATCAACTGCGAATGTTTCTCTTTTACTCGATTACACCTCATTTGCCGCGTTTCCTTTGATTGCCATTATCCGCCGGACTTGTTTCATGCAACGCGCTCGTTACCGTTCGTTAGCACTCGGCGGAGCCTCTTTCGCCTATTCGCCGTCTATCATATCGCGCGATTCGAAGAAGCTTCGCCGGCGGACGATTATCGGACGGCTGCGCGGGCGCGAACGCGCGAGTCCGCTTAAATTTCGCGAATCGTACCTCGGTACGAGCGGTAAACCGTAACGCAACGTAAATATCGTAGATTACCCGGCGCCGAGCAACGCGCCGCCGTGATTATATTTTCCAATTATCCATTGTAATCAGCCGACGCCGCGCGGTTCGATTTCGATCGCGCTGCTGCGAGCGAGCGAGCGAGCGCGCATCAGCCGCACACTCTCACGACCCTTTTTCTTCAGCTAGGCGTATCTACGGGGATATCGATGAAACGGAAATGAACGGTGTCCGTTCAAAATATCGGATAACACCGCTGCGATTTAATTGCGTTATCATCGGTTACCTGCGCGCGAGCGCGCGCGCGCGCGCGCGCGCGCGAGTGCGCACGATAATTATTCCATCGATTTGAAATAATTATATCGGCCTCGTAAGCGGGTAATACTCGATACTACCACGCTTCGCTGCGGTGGTCAATGAATCGCAATGCACATTTTTTCACCGCCACTCCCAACCAACCAGCCAACCGCCCGACCGGCCCTCCCTGCCGTCCCGCCACCGCCTCTCTCGCGCCTTCCATTGTCCTCGTCGCTCTGTTCGGAACCTCTCTCCTCTTCGCTCCTGCACACCTACCCTTCTCCTCCCGTTCGCGCGTGAGGTTCGGATTTCATTGGCCGGAAATTGCGATCGTTTTCTATGTATACATATCGGAATGCCGTGGCGTGAATTCTCGAAATTGCCGCCGATTGTCTTGCAATCTGACGGCGGAGGAAAAAGGCGTGTCGGAATCGTGCGGCGATGTTATTCCGAACGGAAGAAATGAAATGCTACTAGCTTGACAGCGAATGAACAGGCCGATGAGCGGGACGCGGGGGAAGGGGGAGGGGAGGGGAGAGGGGGAGAGGGAAGATTAAATCGGCTGATGTAACAAATGTACAACCCGCTTGACTGTTTTACCTTCGAAAGATGCCGCGGTGAAATACCGGTGCGAAGTATAGTTCAATCTACATTTTATATCACTAACACGTTCATCACCATCGTCGACCATCATCGATTATGCAAATGTTCGACCGACAATTGAATCGTTAAAGCTGCTACTAGCAAATGCAGTTCTAAGTTGATGTATCTTTTACATCGTTCCATCGACGTCTCATCGACTCGTAGGCAGCGTAGCGCTAATCGCTCGTAATAGCCATCGGTGACATTTAAAGGTGCGTACACACTAAGCGAGCGAACGGTGAATGAACGGCGAACGAACCACGAACAGCGAGCAACGAACGGTGAATTCGGCAACTGCATACAGCGAACCGAACGGTTGTCGGTTTTCGATCCGGTTCGCTCTTCAAGAGATATATGAAAAAATGGACACACACTTCGACGTTTGTTCGCTCAGTGTATAAGCACATTTGTCTTAAACCTTTATATCCTGGCGGTGCTTAAAAGTACCGCTCTAATGAGCACTCACATGTCCTTGAACTTTTCCGACATTTCTGCCGATATTCATACATAGCATCTAAAATTTAATCATTACATTGTTATAAAATTTCTTTTTCTATTCCTTACGTTTATAACATGTCAAAGCTATTATTTAGCTACACAAAAAGATCTTAGTACTCAGTAAGGTCTTGGGTAGATTAATTCAGGATATAAAGGTCCAACGCGACGCGTCGGAATGATCGCGGTTGAAGCATCGCGAAAGCTCTCGAAAATACCGTATTCTAGAATCGGAGTCTTGAAGAGTCACCAAATGCGTGTCGTGCTGTTGCAGGATCGACGCGCGAGAGAAGCCAGTGACGAAGGCGCAGCACTCGTCGGACACCGGCGTGTTCGGGCCGCGCGCATTCTTCCGCACGGCTTTCCCGAGCCCGGCGGTGCTGGTGATCGAAGACATCAAGCGGCACGACGCGGCCACGTACAGATGCAGGGTGGACTTCCGGCAGGGTCAGACGCGCAGCTTCCGCTACAACCTGACCGTGATCGGTGAGTACCGCGGGGCCGAGGATGTCGTGGCGCGTGCAAAGCAGCGCCGCGCGCTCGATCGAACGCGCCAGATCCGGAGTATCTATTATTCAACGTCGCGCGCCCTGTGTACCTGGAAACCTCTCGAACTGGGCGATGAGAGAGAGAGAGAGAGAGAGAGAGAGCGGACTATTCAGCCGCGCGACCGAAGAGACATGACCGAGGAGGCGGCTCTGCCCACGCGCGAGAAACGATACAACGACGGTGATAGGACCTCGGTCGGAACTTGTCGAGAGAGCTGGAGGACCGATCGTTAAAGCGAACGACGAGCGATATCGGCGTCGACGTGTTTGAACAGAGACAACGACGTTTGCGCGAGGGACAGAAGCGAGCGGCTTCCCGCTTCTTTTCCGTTCAATCAAAAAGAGATTGTGGCGGGCTAATTTACTGCGGCTTACTTTAAAGAGGAGCCCTAAGGCGCGCATTACCCTCTCGTGGACGCTGCCGGATGGAAAAGGGGTGGATCAAGAGTAATAGAGGGTAAAAGAGAGGGAGAGAGAGAGAGAGAGAGAGAGAGAGAGAGAGAACAAGTGCGACGCAATCGCTGGAAAAATCGATCAAGCTCGCCGACACGCACGGCACGCCGCCACGAAGAAGCGATTCGCGGCGATCAGATCGAACACGCGGCATAGAAGGGCTGCGGGAGTGTTTCACGCAGAGGGCACAAGCTCTTCCGATCGATCTTTCGCTCCGTTTCGAACTTGCGACCGGCACCTATTTACGCAGACACACATGCGCACCGCGTACGTGTACCTGGCCCGAGTGTTTCACCCCGTCGCGTACTACCTCGGCAAACCCGGCGAGAGAGAGAGAGAGAGAGAGAGAGAGAGAGAGAGAGAGAGAGAGAGAGAGAGAGAGAGAGAGAGAGAGAGAGAGAGAGAGAGAGAGAGAGAGAGGTGACGGGGCGCTCGGGTGTAGGTCTGATCAAACAAATGCAGCCGCTGTTGAAAAATGCATGAGCCAATCGCAGACGCGTTGCCTTCGTCTCACCGCGCTGTTTTCGCGCGCCACGTGGTCACACCGAAACTCGGCTAACGGCATAGCCCACTGCTTTCCTGACCTATTTTTCAGCCTTGCACTCTCTTACCACCCCTCCTGCCCCCTCTCTCCCTTCGCCGAGCTCTCCTTCTCCTTCTCTCGTGCTGGCATTTGCAAATTCGGTCGCGACGCGATCGCGACGAATCCGCCTCGAGCTCTTACATAAATACGACATTCCGCTTCACCGTATTCCTCCTCTCGGCGGATAAGCGTAGGGATAAAGGACGGCAAACAAGCCTCGACGACGACGACGAGGACTGCTGCTGCTGCTTCTACCAGAGGCACTACTACTGCTGCTATACGCACGGTAACGCGAGGAATCCCGTGACCGTCATTACGGCGCGCGTCGCCCGGTGATTTTGCTTCCGTCTCTCCCTTCTCTCCGCGCGCGCGCGGCGGGCTTAAAGTAATACCCGGGGAACCGTGCTACTTTCTTCGCGGCGGATGCGCGAATGCCGCGCGCGAATGCCGCGCCGTTGCGAGTTGATCATAAAGTCCACGTCGTATGAGAAGGTGTAACTTTCATGGAGAAGCCCCTTCAAAGCAGTCGCGGTAACGGAGTACGCTCGAATCTCGGGATATCCCGTATAGCTCGCGGCGAGAATATAACCTGGAAAATCCTACTGCCGATCCTTCGATACCGGAATCCATCTTCGCCGCCAATCCCGCGTCTCTCTTCGCCGCCCTTATCGACGAGTGGTTAAAGAACGGAATAGTGAAAGGGGTGGGACGAAGCACGGAAGGATAAGGTAGAGTGAGACGCGTAGGAGGAGAGAGAGAGAGAGAGAGAGAGAGAGAGAGGATTGGAAACGACAAAGAAAGGGATAGCTGGTGAGAATGTAAGTGTCGCAGTGCAGATTCCGGCAAGACCGGCACGAAATTCCTCGGCTTATCCCTCGGGCGATCTAACCCTTTCCGGTAATAACCGGGCGCGCGTAGTGTTTCTGAAATGTTCGAGCGAGACACTCGACGTCGAATATCCATATAAGACCGCGAGCAGCTACCCGGGCTATCCCAGAATAAACGAATCGTATTTTTATTGCCATATTCCGTGGCGCGCGACGCGGCGTGGCCGAGATATTCTTCCGCGGCGAAAACGCCGCGGGACGAAACGTCGTCACGCGCCGCAACTGCGCGATAACGTCCGTTCGCGACGGACCGCGAAGGAAATAGCCTCGAGTTTAAAATCCGCGCGAATTTACGTCTCATCGCCATTCGCACCGAGATGGCTCACCCAGACGATAACCTCGCTTCGATAACCTCGCCGAGGAGAGAGAGGGACGCGCGCGCGAATCGAACATTTTGAATTAACAAGTCCGTGGAGAAGGAGGAAGAGAGCGATTCGCTCGATCGAGGACACGCGATGTGTACTCCCCCCTCCCCTCCCCGCGCTCACGTACACCAGCGCCAACGCCAAGCCTTTTCTCTGCACGCTCACACGTCGGGTCTCACACGCTAGTTAAGCGGTGAGCCGCTCGATTAAGCCGCGGCGATATTTTTCGCCGAGGGCGTAGGCAATCGCGAGTAATCCGTTTTTCTGGATCTTGCGTTCCGTCGACACGCTCGCTCACACGTACTCTTGAAACGTCCCCCGGAATGCGCGTCGCAAGGGCTGCGCCGCGGAACGTCCAATTCAAACGTACTCGCGGTATTCCAAAAAGTAACGAACGAAATTGGCCCCCGCGGGTGCGGTATCAGACCTCACAGAGGACAAGGTATTTTCATCAGAGAAGATTGGTTTCCGAGAGTTCCTAGATTGCGTCTCTCCCCCCTCCCCTCTCTCTCTCTCTCTCCCCCTTCTCTCTTGCTCTGACTTGCCTGGGCTTTCTCGCGGTAACCGGCAACGTCCTACCTACCTACTTACCCACCCCACCCACCCACCGAGCTACCAGCTACCCAGCTACGCCAGCGATGCAATGTCCAAGCGCGTCTCTTCCGCTTTATCTCTTCCTGCCGCTCGCAAATATTACGGTACGGAGATACCGGCGGAAAATACGTATCCGGCGGTCTTCGACGTTTAGCCCCGCATGGACGCGAGCCTGCCGTTCAGCGAATATCCCGCCGTACATATGTATAACGTTTAGCTCCCGTTATTTTCCACAGCGTACTCCGATACGCGTTTAAGCTCCCCGAGTTACGCGAGCATTGAAATTCTTTTTGCGCCCCCCCCCCTCCACCCGCGCGCGGTCTTCGTGACGCCGCGTATGCGAGAAATTTCGCGTACGACGCGCGACTATTGCACTTTCGCTGCGCATCACTGCCGTGAGACGGGAAAGCGCGATCTCTCTCGGCATCGCGAGGCTTCCGCCGTGCTTTCGCACGATTATTAACCCTTTCGATACGGCTATGTCGTTCGCGAGTATGCTTCCGCTGTAAGGATACTTGAGTCGCGAATAGGGTCTATTGTACGGGCCGGTTACAATGTACATTTTACCGTAGTGTGGGTATAACATTTGATATTCGGTAAAATAATGTAAATTATAGACAAATTGTTCATAAAGGGTGAGATATTGTAATGTAATATATTTTAAATCATTCAGATTTAAAAAACTGTTTAATAATATAATTTCGACGATGGGTGACTATAGTCACCGTGGTATCAAAAGGGTTATACCCGGGAGAACTCAACGAAGATTGTCTGATCGAGAAATCTACCACGCGTTCGAGTCCAAGTCGGCGACGGTGGAAATTCGCGGGGGTGGCCGAGGAAGGTGTTCAGATTTCATCGGGATATACTATTAGTATTGGTATTGTTTTCTAATCCGAAGAAACCGGCGGTTGAAGGTCATAGAATTCTGATAGAGACTTATGGTGATGTTTTTCCATCAATTAAGACATGTGAATATTGCTTTAGATTAGGATTTCCCAACCGGGGATGCTCGCATCCCCTGGGGATGCGAGGAAAAGTGATTGTAATTAATAATGATTAAGATGAATTCTGGAATAATCCGGCATTTTTTTCGTCAAATTAAAAAAAATGTTATTAAAATTATATATTTTTTACGTATCTGTACGTATATATTCATTACGTATCACTGTGCGAAGCTTGACATCATGGATAATAATTTTATAATATTAAAATGATAGTTTCTATAAAACAATAATATGTAATAATAAATTATTATAAATTAATTTCTTATCTTAAAACCCTAACAACTAATTTTTACTATAAAATATACGAATAATTGTTTTTTGTAAGGGGTTCGAAGGTTAATTAATAAATGTTTAGGGATGCGAAATACAAAAAAGATTGGGAAACCCTGCTTTAGGTGATTCAAAAGAATATTAATGACAAAAGTCGCTCGGGCGATCAACTAAAAGAGCTTGAAAATGCAGTTTTGCAAGTATTATTGAACGAAAATCCAGCACAATCTACTTCAGAACTTGTCAAAGCATTAAACTGTTGAACAACAGTTACTAAACGTTTACATGATATGGAAAAGATTCACAAAGAAGGAAAATAGATTCCACATCAATTATCGAAAAATGTCACTGCGATGCGGAACGCATTTCGCTTATTGCCAGACAAAAATGAAGAGTTTTTTATAGCAATTTCTCGTGTTGTTAAATGACGATTTGCGCCCACCAATGCCATTATTTGATCTTCATCAGCCTCAACTAGCCTTCCAGAATGTAATGCATCTTCGAGAGGTCGAAATTCCCAGAACGAAATTTCGAAAACCAATTCTGACACTGGCGCGTTCGGTCAACACATCCTCTTCATACATGGCACATAATTCTTTTCTCGCTTGCGCTGTATTTTTGCCTTTACGGTAACAAAAAAGCAAAATGTGACGAAAATGCTCACGTTGGTTTTCCATGTTTCATGCAACGCCAAAAAAAAGACAACTTGACAGATTCCAAAACAACTTTTTCTCAAATGTGCCTTGTAAAAATGTAAGATGATTTTCTGATTTAGAATC